TTCTTTGCCAACGGTGATTGAAGCTTTCTGATAGGCAAATAGAAAGAGAAAAAGTTGTCTCTCGGTAATCCCTCAAAAAATCCATTCTGTGCATCTGCCGAAGGGATGCATCAATATTCTGGCTCGGTGACCACAGAACAACATGTATGTCAGCCACTGCCCAAGTTCTGTGGTCACTGAGAAAAGAATTCCACTCTAGTAACCTTTGAAGCTGTGGCTGGTACTTCTCCAGTATCCCAACCTGAGATCCCGTTAAGCAATTATGCTTGAGGTTGAACTCAGGATCTTCCTTGTGTAAAGAATGTGGTCAACAAATTATGAAGCTTTCATCCCTTCCTACACAAGACTAGCCTGTTATTACTGGTTTGATCTGATAAGTATTGCATTTGTGATAGTCACCCTGAAGAAAATACTTTCTCCTCCTCCTCCTCCTCCTCCTCCTCCTCCTCCTCCTCCTCCATCATGCCTATCTGCTTTAAACCACAGTGATATAAAAATGGCAAAATACAAAATCAGTGCAATCTCCAGCTTTTCATATCAGCATAGCAATAGTACTTAGACTTATACACCACTTCACGGTTTACAGAGTCAGCCTCTTGCCCCCAACTATCTGGGTCCTCATTTTACCAACCTCGGAAGGATGGAAGGCTGAGTTAACCTTGAGTCTGGTGAGAATTGAACAGCTGACAGTTGGTAGAATTAATCTGCATTCTAACCACTGTGCCGCCATGGCTCATTATGCATTTTGCATCCTGATTTCTGATGCAAGTATGTAAATCATGCGGCCTGGGTCCTGAGATCTCTATCCGCACTTTCATGTTCATCCACTTTACCCTTCCCCTGACTCCAAACATCTGGGCTTCATTCATTGGTCAAAACGATGGGATTTCAGCTTTGATGCTCTGCTCAATGGTGACTGTAACAGGAGGGAGATGAAGAACTATCTGATCAGGAATTCATCTGAAGAATTGACATAGGCTATAAAATATTGATAAGGCCAAAAGAAAGCTGATGGAAGGACGTGCACATCTACGTATTTTTATTTTTTTTCCCCTTGATATTTCTTTTATTGGTTCCTTGGCCCATTAAAACAATTCTTCCCATTATCTACATGGACACTGAGTATCCCTGCAGAAAATACTGTTTGCTTTGGCCAGGTCTTGGTCTTTTTATTGGCTAGTTGTGGGTAACAGCATGTAAGCCAGTATTCCCTGTTGGAAGCACAAAGTGGCCAATGGAAAAATGTACATCCAGATAGGTTCAGGCATGAACTGGAAATTCTTGGCACAGAAACCTTCTACTGTTTACCTGTCAGGTGTTTTACATATGAGATGTAGTATCTCCCATCAAAGATAAATTGGTGGTACGTCTTTAGGGATCTCCAAGAGGAGTCTTCTTTCTAGCTTTGTCTCTCAAACTAATTGTGATCTCTCCTTGATGATCCTACCGCTACCACTTCTCAGATTGATCTTTGCAATCCATTTAACATAGGGTGGCTCTTGTGAAGACCGCCCAATGTTTTCTCTGGATGTGGTCCTGTTGATCTATATATTCTAAGTCAAGGCTATCTGAATAACCCATTTAACTGTGGCCTGTCTGGCACAGAGTAGATTAAATTATTATTTTCTGTCAAGGGCAAGTAGTTATTTTCTTTTTTACCAGAATGACAATGTAAGAAAACCAATCCAGTATCAATGATAAAATAACTGGTGACTTAAGCAAGTAGACAGATCATTCTTAGACCGGAGCGAATCCTTCTTGGAGTCCATCTGAGGTCCTGATGATTCCAGGGACAGGTCTAGGTAGTTTTCTTGGCAAGAATAAGGAAGTGGTTTGCCATAACCTTTTTCTGTGCTGTGACTTCTTGGTCAGAGTTGTAGTCTTGGTTTTTCCTGATCTTTTTCCTGTAAACTCTAACCCAGAAGTACCCAGCAGAGTGCTTAGATCTGGCCTGCGGAGCCACCCTGGAAACAGTGAAAAACCAATTTGTGGGCCTCTGCCAGTGAAAATGGAGCTCAGGAGGGCTGCATGGAGCTCTCACGAGCTCAATTTTTACTGGCAGAGGGTTGGAGGAGGCCGTTGCAGCCAAAAACTGAGCTCGGGAGTCAGGGGTGGGCTTCTAAAATTTAAGCAATGGGTTCTCTGCCCAGTTGCTGGGTAGGTGTGGCCATGGTGGACGTGGCTTAGGCAGCCTCCTGCGCCACAGCAGGGAGGGGTGGTTTTTGCCCTCCCCGGACTCTGGAGGCTTTCCTCGAGCCTCTGTGAGGGCAAAAACAGCCCCCCGGACTCCAGAGGCTCTCTGGAAGCCAGAATTAGGCTCATTTCCTGCCTTCCAGGAGGTCCTTTTTTCGCCCCCCCGAGCCTGTGCACGCACCATGCACTTAGCTGTATCCAAAACAGGCCACGTGGAGACTCCTGGGAGGGGAGGCGAGGGCAGGACCAGCCAGGACTGGGATTTGGGGGTTCTTTGAACTGCAGAATCTTAGCTAAAGGATCTCTCGAACCCCCAGCAGCCCACTCCTGTCGGGAGCCCGTTTTCGCTGGCGGAGTGCTCGGGCCACCAGAGGCATCCCTGACCCGAGTGATGTCAAGCAGGCCACCTCCACCCTGACCACGGCCCCCTTCCTCATGCTCCCTCCCCCAAGGTCAAGCACAACCCCTGATGTGGCCCTCAATGAAATCGAGTTTGACAGCCCTTCTCTGACTCTATCTGATCTTGCTCAGCTCTTGGAGACGAGCTAAGACCTCGCTCTACAAGCTGCTACTTAACCATGAAGTTCTGTGCCTGATCTTTAGAACACCGAGGGGCCTTAACAGTGAAAATCAGCTCTGGAATTGTACCTGGAGACCATAATCTGAACCAGGGACACTGACTAAGAAGTAGGTACCTGGTTGTTCCAAGGAGAGTGGGTGGAGGAATGTGGCTCTGTTACTTGCACTCCGAGGCTCCTAGACATGCTTCAGATACTTGCTGTACACAGCAAGTTCTGTTCTAATTGAAAGCTGCCTTCCCTGCAGCAGCTCTTTCAAGGCCGTGCCTTGCCTGAATCGCTGCATTCCATCGTGGTTTTGTACGTGAGCCATCTTGAAAGGGTTCTCCACTGGCATATCTTATTAAGAGAGTTCATCAGCAACTATTATGTTTGCACTCCATTCGTCCTTAAGAAAGGCGGTGCAGTTGTGTTTTGGGCAGAGCTGTGATGCTTTGGCATTTGCTCCGCTTGCGTAAAGAAGTCGCAAACATTTATTCTCGGCTAATCACTGACATCAGGTAGGAAGGTGAGAACTGGATGTGCTTTAGAGGTTGGGAGGCTGGGTGGGAGGGAGACATAAGACGGAGTAATCTTAGGGACAGAGAGGCATTCTGTTATGAAAAACCAAAAGATAGTCAACATGAAACAAGTTCTTGCAGACCTTCCTATCTGCTTGATGGTGATAAAATTCCCAGCTTAGTGACAATCCTTCTGTTTGGCCTTATTTCTCTGGTTCTAAGTCTACTGTCACTACAACAGGGATTCATCTGAGATACTTCTAAGGACTGGAACGTTTGCAAAATCAGCAAAATCCTGAGCCTTGAGGCTTAAACTCCTGGGATAGTATCGTCACCGTCCCTCATGATGGTCTGTAACTCAGGGGTGTCAAACTCAAGGCCAGTGGGCTGAATCCAGCCCACAGGGTGCTTAGATCTGGCCCGAAGGGCCACCCTGGAAACAGTGAAGGACCGGCCTGCAGTGCCTCTTCCAGCAAAAATGGAGCTCGGTGGAAGGGCTCCGTTTTCGCTGGCAGAGGGTTGCAGGAGGCTGTTGCAGCCGAAAATGGAGTTTGGGAGCCCTTTTTCACTGGCAGAGCGCTCAGGCCACCACAGGTGCCCACGACACAAGTGACGCTGAGCTGGCCACGCCCACCCCGGCCCCTCAAGGTCAAGCACAACCCTGATGTGGCCCTCAATGAAATCGAGTTTGACACACCCTTGCTGTAACTCTTCTATGGACACCCCCCACAATCTTCTTGATTCCTTTATAGCCGCCATATCAGTTATGTCCCCTTTCTTCTCCGCGTTGTGTTTTTGCTGATTCAAGACCTGGCTAGGATGACACAAAAGCCTGTTTCATCACAGAGGAAGCAAACTATAGCCCTGCTTAATCAGCAGAAGAGTCCTGCTAGCCCAGCATCTCGTTTCCAAGAATTAGCTTCCCCCTTTGCCAGCAGCATTGTGGGATTCATACCCGCAACCTTATAAATGGAAGGTAAATGAACTGAGGAGAGATCCCACTGGGAGCCAAGAATCTGAATGCCGTTTTGGATCCGTTCAGGCCTGAGACAATGTACCACAGTATGCAAAGGGTTTAATGAAAATTATAAATGTGTCTGTTGCAATTACCGAAAATGCTTCTTTGACTAAACATTTGAGATGCTTTTCTGGACTGCTTGCAAACCATTTTCCAGGTCTGAAGAATTTGACTCTGAAATTTATGCTTACAAGCTCCTATTAATCATTCACCACTTCGTGTTTATAATAATGAGCATGAATGTTGGTCAAATAAAGCCATTCCCTGCTCTCTCTCTCTTTTTTCTGCTGTGGTTTAAAATTAGAAGGGACGAACTGCAGTCGTCCTGCTTTCTGCAGCCAGGCTGAGCCAAACCTTTCTATGCTCAATGCGAATTTCAGCTGCGCCGGTTTCCAAAACTCCAAATCAAAGTTTAATATCAGCTTCTCGTATCTCCTCACTTCCTCGTTTTATGGGCGACTGAGCCTGAAAGTGCCAACATTTTGTGAGGCAGATGGCACACGTGTTAAGTCTGGTCCAAGAGAACCAGGCGTTACCAAAAGTCACACAAGGCTTCCAGCTCAACTGCCAGAACAAAGAGGTTGAGATAAGTGAGTATAATTATAGGAGCCATTTTACAGTCCTTTCCCTTCTGCAGCCAGCTGCTCTAGCAAAGGATATAGAATGAATGGCTTCCCTTAATTCTCACGCTGCTTTTCTGCTTTTCTTCAGAGCGTTGTCATCGGTGGTGGCTTTGGGAGCGAACATCATCTGCAACAAGATTCCAGGCTTGGCCCCACGGCAGCGAGCGATTTGCCAGACCCGCCCCGATGCCATCATAGTTATTGGAGAAGGGGCCCAGATGGGAATCAATGAATGTCAGTACCAGTTCCGATATGGCAGGTGGAACTGCTCAGCACTGGGAGAAAAAACCGTCTTTGGTCAAGAGCTTCGAGTAGGTAAGGTTCTGTGTAAATTAATGCTCCATATTTGGCAATTTTGTCTTCTGCCTTTCTTTCTACTAGGTTTTTTTAAATCACAGTATTATTTGTCCTCTGCCTGCCTTCCTTCCTTCCTTCCTTCTTTCCTTCCTTCCTTCCTCCTTCCCTCCCTCTTCCTTTTCCGCGTCTTCTTCCTTCTCCTCTGCCTCCTCTTCTCTCTCTCTTTCTTCCTCTTCCTCCTCCTTTTCTCTTTTTCTTTCTCTTCTTCCTCCTCCACTTAATTTTTTTTTATTCAGGTGAATTTTTTTGGTAGGAGCTTTGAGGGATATTAATTTTAGAAGCAATGCTACAAGTCAAATATCTAAACTTATTCACACTTAGATTAGCTCAAATGAAACCAGTGAATTGACCAACATTTGTTATTCATTTTAGAGGGGCTGATTCTGTATATGAGTGAGATCCCTGTTGAGCATTACAGGCTCCACATGTGGCCTTGGGGCTGTCTCTGCTCTTGCTGGGGTTACTGCAATGTGGAACACGCCTTCCCTTGCTCAGAGAGTCTGCAAAGTGCTTGTCTTGAATGACTTGACCCATAGTTGCACCCATTTGAGCTTTATGACTCATTGCAGAATCCAGTCTGCCACCAGGACCAAAGGTTTATTCTTCCAAGCTTTTAGGCTTGTGCTGGAACCCTCCAGTGGTGGGATTCAAATTTTTTTACTAACAATAATGTGGGCATGGCTTGGTGGGCATGGCAGGAAAAGGATACTGCAAAATCTACATTCCCTCCCCACCCCACCCCACTAACCTGCTTTCCAGCTCCATTCTCCTGTGCAGGGCAACGAAATAAGACCCAGCCGATCAGCTGGGACTCAATGGGAGGCAGAGAATAGAAGGGGGTAGGGCCAGTCAGAGGTGGTATGGGCCGGTTCTCTGAACTGCTCAAAATTTCCTCTACCGCTTCTCCAGAATTGGTCAGAACCTGCTGACTACCACCTCTGAACCCATCACTAGAGAATTTCTCTTTCTTTCCAGAATATGTGCCCTGGGCTGTTCTACATGTTGAATTTGTATTTATGAACCAACATAAACAACCAGGATCGTGGGAAAGGATGGGGTGCCCATAGGATGTGGTCAGATAATCAAGAAGGTAGCTAGAATGGTGTGACCAAATCGCTGCTTGTTTTTTATGTACACATACAACTCATTATCCCACTCAATAGTAGTAACTGTGAGAGGGAACTCAGAGTCCTAGTGGGCAATCATTTAAATATGAGCCAGCAGTGTGTCGCAGTTGCCAAAAAAGCCAACACAGTTCTAGGCTGCATAAATAGAGGGACAGAATTAAGATCACGTGAAGTGATGATATCATTTTATAATGCCTTGGTAAGGCCATACTTGGAATACTGCATCCAGTTTTGGTCATCACAGTGTAAAAAAGATGTTGCGACTCTAGAAAGAATGCAGAGGCTCTAGAAAGAATTCAGAGACTCTAGAAAGAATGCAGAGAGAAGCAACCCAGATGGTTAAGGGGACTGGAGGCTAAAACATATGAAGAATGGTTGCTGGAACTGAGCATGGCTAGTCTAGTGAAGAGAAGGACTAGGGGAGACATGATAGCTGTCTTCCAATATCTCAGGGGCTGCCCCAAAGAAGAGGCAGTCAAGTTATTCTCCAAAGCACCTGAGGGCAGGACAAGAAGCAATGGGTGGAAACTGATCAAGGAGAGAAGCAACCTAGAACTAAGGAGACATTTCCTGACAGAACAATTAATCAGTGGAACAATTTCCTCCAGAAGTTGTAAATGTTCCAACACTGGAAATTCTATTCTATTCTTTAAAAAGTTGCCATCATTACCATACCCTGTTGACACCTCTGAAGATGAGAGTGGGAAAACATCATAAGAAGAACTACGATTACATTCTCTAGTCCTGCCTTACATATAAGTAGAGATGATTTCTGGACCCAGTGCAATATATGCATGCTTAGTTAGAACAGTTTTACAAAATTAGGGATTGATGGCTATGAGTTACATCTCAACAAAGTTCTCGGATGTAACCATCTCATATTCAAGGTTGAGAAGCTAGGCATCACCCTTATCAATTCTTCTTCTTTGTGCCACTGCAAAAACCTTTTAATTTTTTCCCATTATTATTCTGTAGCAGAATAATGAAAGCTGTAAGACAAAAATAGCACATATCATTTCAGAGATATTTCCTTACCTAACCAGAGAAGCAGCATGATCACAGGCAGGCAAAAATGCAGTGGGCCTCGGAGCAATTTCTGACTTCCTGTAGGCTTCTCCATTGACATCAACTGTGGAAGCTGGCAGGAAGCATTAGAAATCATGGTTGCTTAACTGCAGCTGCCCAGCCAGCTAATACAACTGATCTGAAAATCCTTGAAATTTCAGTATGGGGTGTAATGGATCCCAGATTTTGGACACATAAGTTAACCCATTTGAGACAACTTGATTCAAAAATTCATGCCCTATGATGCACTATTTTAGCTAGTTGAAGACTGTAATAGTATACACACACACACACAAACACACAATCTGCTCTCGAATCTGTTCTTTAACATTTCTGTAAAATTTCTTCTGCCTATGTACAGGGGCCTTTGTGGGAAAGAATCAAGAGAGTTAAATGTTGGCCACAACTGAACAATTGCACCCCTGCCCCTTCTTATGTGCGATGCGTGTGTGATACATGCAGAAAAAGCGGGAGGGCTTGATTACATGGTTGCAGCTGCATCCAAGAGTGTTGGTGGCACAGTGGTTAGAATGCGGTATTGCAGATTTAATTCTGCTGACTGCCAACTGCCAGTAGTTCAAATCTCACCGGCTCAAGGTTGACTCAGCTTTCTATCCTTCTGAGGTTGGTAAAATGAGGATCTAGATTGTTGGGGGCAATATGCTGCCTCTGTAAACCGCTTAGAGAGGTCTGTAAAGCACTATGAAGCGGTATATAAATCTAAGTGCATTTGCTAATTGTATCTTGACTCTCACCCACACCTCTGTGGGAATTGATGAAGGTTGAACTGTTGGGTTCTTAATGTTGTCTGAGCTTGGTTGGCTTCTTCCAAACATCTGGTTATCAGACTAGGGAACTTCATCAGTGCAGGGGAGAGTGGGGTCCAATCTTGGTTGGGATGGGTTGGTGTGTTTTTTTTGATAATTCCTTAATTGGAGTATTGTTACTTCCCTGGCTGAAACACATCAGATATAATATTAAGGAAGAAACAATGCCCACCTCATCTCCATACAATAGCTATCAACACCTTTTGGTTAGAGTAAGGCTATTTGGAATAGTAGGAACTACTTGTAGATGATGGTGGTAATCAGATACAAGAAACAATATGAAGCAGCCTCGGTGGTACAGTGGTTAGAGTGCAGTACTGCAAACTTCTTCTGCTGATTGCCAGCTGCCTGCAATTTGGCAGTTCAAATCCCACCAGGCTCAAGACTGACTCAGCCTTCCACCCTGCTGAGGTGGGTAAAATGAGGACCCAGATTGTTGGGGGCAAAAGGCTGACTCTGTGAACTGCTTAGAGAGGTCTGTAAAGCACTATAAAGCAGTATAGAAGTCTAAGTGCTAGTTGCTATTGCTAATATGATGGCTATTGCTATCCATTTGCATCTACTCAAAATTATTTTCCAAACCTGGTGGTGTCAGAAATCACATTCCATCTTCTACTTCAACGGTGATAAATGAGAAAACATTTAAGAGGGGTTGGCCATTATTTGTATATTATTCATACCTTGCATGTTTACTGTACTATTTAGAATAGATAATGAGGAACTTTTTATTAATGGTAATGAGTCCACAAATCCAATTATTGGAAATCTTCAACCCTGCATCTCAGTAGGTGTTGTTTGTACATTTTAAGCATTCGTTCAGTTGCCCCCATCCTTCACAACAATAGCCTGTAATAAAACATAGTTTGTGACCTTCATGACCTCGTCAAGGATTGAGGTTACCTGCACCCCAAATAGGGAAGTGGCAAAAAAAAGAGTGAGATTAAATACCTTTTGGAATATGGTGGCTACACATTCCCCTGTCTGTTTTGTGTTGAAAAGATTTGAACTTGTGGGATCTGCTTTGCATCTGGATTCATGCCTATTTGTACCTTTTCATTGTCTGTTTTGATACTCTGAATGGCTAGAAAACCTTTGCTTTTAAAAAGAAAAAAAAACCTGAAAACTTCAGGACAGAGAATTGCACAATAACATAACCTTCTTTTTCTATACTTGCGTGGAAGTTATTTGTCGTATATATAGTAGATAGACATATAGGTATGTCCTCTAGTTACGATCTTAATTGACCCTGCCCATTAGGGTTATGTCATAATTGCTGTAAGATTCAAAAACCAATTATAGGACTGTTTTGTGGTAGTCATTCAGTGAACCCATTGTTTCGCTATGGAGTGGTTTTGCCGAAAACCAAAGTTTGGCAAAACTGTTGTAAAACACGGACACGTGATCATGACATAATGCCAATAGCCATAAATGCAACCATAGAACATAGAACAACATAGTTGGAAGGGACCTTGGAGGTCATCTAGTCCAACCGCCTGCTCAAGCAGGAGAGTTTTTACCATTTCAAACAAATAGCTGTCCAGGCTCTTCCTGAAAGCCTCCAGTGATGGGGCACCTATAACTTCCGCTGGTTGGTTGTTCTCATTGTTAGGAAATTTCTCCTTAGTTCTAGATGTCTCCACTCCTTGACTAGTTTCCCTCCATCATTTGTTGCCTTGCCTTCTGGTCCCTTGGACAATAGTTTCCCTTCCTCATCTTTGTGGCAGCCCCTCAAATACTGGAAAACTGCTTGTTGCCAAATCACATGAAATGCAGGCATCAGAATTTTGGATCTGGTACGACCTTTTTCAGGTAGGCCTGAACTTTGAACTGTTGCTAATAGACTCGTCATAAGTTGATAACTATCTCTGCAGTAGTTTTAATATCCTTACTCTATGGCTCCATTTATTGAAGAGAAGGAGGAAGAGAGAGAGAGATCTTA